ACAGTGCTCCAGGCACAGCCCCAGGAACCTGCTGATGATGCAGGTGGTGAGCTGGGGCAGTGAAGATAGATAACAGGTGAGCGCTCAATAGATACCAGCCCCAATTATCACTCCCAGCACTGTACCTCCTCGAACCAACCCTGACCACAGGACACCTCCTCCGAGTCTCCGCACCTTGAGCTCCCCTTACCCCCCAACCCACACACTGTTCCCAGACCTGGGCAGGGCGGACTCCTCTTGTCCTTCTAATGGCAGTATAAATGTCACTCTGGAGACCTTTAGACCTGACCTAGGGTCCTGCCCTCCCTCAGCACCTGCTTCCCTTCCCCACTGCACTCCTCTTCTCTCCCATATGGATTTGCTTTTGTGCTTCTGTCCACCTGTCCCTCCAGGCTGTGAGCTCCTGCTCAGGATGGCTGCTGGGGGCGCAGACACTGAATAAATAATGAGAGGGTCTCGGAGCCCCTCCCGCTTCTGGGCAGCTCACACTGTGGACATGGAGACAAATAACAAAAGGTGCATGTTGGGTCAGAGGCCGCGGGATGCCTAGAATGACCCCTGAGTGTCCCTTCCCTGCTCCAGCAGCTCCATTGAGCAGTGGGCACAGCCCGCCCCCTGGTGGTCAGCCCCAGCACTGCATTCCCCAGGCAAGAAAACCAGAAAACAAAACACACACCTTTGTTTGAATGTAGTCAAGGCAGCTGCTCTCCCTGGCACCAGAGGGCAAAGGAACAGGACCTGGAAGCTCCAGGGGGCAACGTCTGGGACCCCAGAAGCCTCTCTCGCTCCCCGCCTTCCCTCCACTATCCTGCTGTCTAGTTCATTCACAAGGTCTCCTCACCCCAGCCAGGGCAATAACTCCAGACCCAATTCCAAATGAAGACCCCAAGGCTCCAATAAGGATGGCCTTGTCCTTGGTTCCAGATGAGTAGTCCAGTGCTCTGCCATGTTCTGCACTACCCAGGCCCCGGGAACCCCAAACCCCCAAGCTGCACAGAAGGATCTTGAGGGAGTAGAAAGCAATTTGCAAGGACTAGGAGCACAGTGGGTTATGGATGGAGAGCCAGGGACAAGACTCTTCTAGGGGCCCATGGGACCCTTGGTGTCACGCCATCTCTGCACCTCAATTTATAAAGGAATAGGCTGAGGCGTTCTTTCCTGTAGCCCCCTCCCTAATAATAAGCACGGGGTCTCCTCCTAGTTCCAGGAGCCCAGAGTGGAGGACACAGGACTCCAAGTCCCCTCCACGCTGCCCTGGGTATGGCATTAACCCAGGCAGACCCCTGGGCACCTCTGGGACTCCCTGGCCATCAGTCTGGCACCTCTCCCCTCCCCATGTTAGGAGCCTGGCATGTTGCTAGGAGACTAGAAGCTCCTGCCTGATGCCGGGCTGCCTCCAGCCTCTTTCTGCTTTCCCTGTCACCTGCACAGGGTGCACTCTCCTCTGAACACACTCCACGGCCCCCACCTGTGAAGTCAATGTGCGTGTACGTGCCTGTGCCCACGTGGGGATGCCCAGAGGAAAGGGCCCCACAAGGGAAGGGTGAACAGGGGTACCCCCAGGATCTTAGGGGCTCTCATTCCCAAAGGAAACCCCACGGGAGAATTGGGGCTGGCCTAGCAGGCTGGACCCCTCCCTGCTCCTCTGCATTCCCTGCCTCTCTCCTGGCCTCAGTTTCCCAATTGTACCAGGAGGGACTGAACGCGGAACTGCGTAAGCGCGCGCCGAGCGTGAACGCAGTGCCGCGCTCCCTCCCGCCGGATGGGGTGTGGCGGGGGACCCGCGGGCCTCCCTCCGCCCGCGCCGCTGGGGAGGGCGGCCAGGCCGGGCGCGCACT